ACCCAAGTCCATTAGGGTCCGACCTAGGTCCATTAGGAGTCTGACCCGGGTCTATTAGGGTTCGACTCGAGACCATTAGCGGTCCGAACCGGGTCCATTAGGAGTCCGACCCCAGTCCATTAGGGGCCGATTCGAGATCACTAGAGGTCAGAACCGGGTCCCTTCGAGGTCCAACCTGGGTCCATTAGGAGTTTCGACCCGAGTCCACTAGGGCCTGATGCAGATCTATTAAGAGTCTGACACAAGTTCATTAGAGTTCCGCACTGGGTCCATTAGGATCCAACCCTGGTCCATTAGGATCCAACCCTGGTCCATTAGAGGTCCAACCCTGGTCCATTAGAGGTCCGTTAGGAGTCTGACCCGGGTACATTAGGGTCGATTAGGGTTCCACAAGGGTCGGCTAGTGCCCCAACTAGCTGCTGACAGGTCTGTGATGCACCCAGAGTGGGAGGACGGGTCAGGAGCTGAACCCAGCACAGATCAGAACCAAACGCCATCAGAACTGACTTTCCAGCTGGAAATTTCCCAGCCAAATTCTGCCCTGGTTCTGTATCGGTTCTGATGATCCGTCCACTGCTCCCAGTCTAGTTTGAACAGGATCAGTGCTGACAAATTGGTCCTGAATATATGCCTCTTTTAGACTCGCTGCTTTGTCCCAGAAAATCTGTAGCTGTTCCTTTGTTCCATGGTTCTGGACCAGAAGGTTCTGGACCAGAAGGTTCTGGGTCAGAAGGTTCTGGATGATAGGGTTCTTGATTCAGATCCAGTTTCTCTTTCAGGCCATCTACTTAGCAGAACCAATCCAATAACATGTCCTCCGGTCCTGCTGCTGATCCGTAGTATTTCCTGGTTCTGTGAAGTCGAACCGGTTCTGGTACCGTTGGGATCTGAGAGCAGAAGGTTTCCAGCGTGTGAAGGTGTTGAGAAAACGTTCCCACGCTGCTGCCTCTGCAGACAGATGCATACTGATCCGGTTCTCAGGAGGTATCGACCCGTTTAATCCGGGCCGGCGTTCCATATTCCCGTTACGCTGCTCCTGCTGGACGCCCAGCTGCTCCACTCATTCATCTCATCAGAGTTAAATCCTCCTGCTGATGGACCATAACTGAGCCAGCGTCTCACAGCTTAACTGGGAACCACAGCTGGCTGCGGTCCGGACCAGAACCAGACCCGGTCCGATGGATCTCTGCCTCTCCTGTGTGTATGAGTCTGTGTGTGTTTGTGTTTTGCAGGAAATCCCTCGCAGCACTCTGGACTCGTTCATGCAGCCGTTCCAGAGCACACTGTGGCTGTTAGTCGGTCTGTCGGTCCATGTGGTGGCAGTGATGCTTTACCTATTGGACCGGTTCAGGTACGCAGAGCACCTACCGCCGCCATCAGTACCGCCACCCCGGTACCGCCACCCCGGTATCGCCACCCGGTACCGCCACCCCGGTACCGCTGCCAACACACCAGTCCTCATTCAGAACCTCTGCAAACATCTGCAGACAAAATATTTAATCCAGGGGTCCAAATAGCTGCAAAGTGCTCCTTTAGTGTCTCTCCACAACGTCTCGTCTTCTCTCCTCCTCTTCCTCATCTTCTCTCCTCTTCCTC